TTTGATGTCTCGTACATTGAAAATGACAAGTAAAGAAAAATATATCGGCATGTTAAAAACAAACAACAGTTTCGTACCATCTTTGAGCAAAGTGTACTCTTCTTTGAGTCCTATGTTATATATATATATATGGGGATCAGTTAGAAGTCGTTCAGAAATTCAACTACCGCGGAGTTGTATCAGCGCTATTGGGATCGAAGATGGGATAACGAACCGTATAGAAAACGCTCCATGTGCTTTTGCTAATCTTCGCTATCTATAACGGCGGCGCGACATCACTCTCGCCCTTAATGGTAGAGTGTACAATGCTGCGGTACGTTCGACGTTATTGTATGGTTGCGAAACGTGGCCCCTTAGATCAGCTTACATAAAAAAGCAGGTTACGTTTGACCATCGGTGCCTTCGCAGTTTGGCTCACACCTGGTGGGAATACGGCGTAGGCAACGAGCGTGTTTGACACTTTGTTTACGGCACAGGAAAAGGAACTGAACCTCTCAGCACTGTTATTTCATGCACTAGGCTCCGATGCTTCGGCCACGTGTTGCGCACGCCAGCACCTCGTATCCCGCAACGTGCTTTGTTTGCTCTCCGATGGTGTAGATGTAAGAAGGGGTAGGGAGGCCAAGCGATGACTTAGTCGAGAGCAAAGAAGGCCCTTACTTCGACTTTGGCTTCGGTTTGATGCTCTCGACGCCCTGGTTAGGGACCTAAACACTGAAGACGTTTGGCTGGATTCACTTGCTGACATGGCTAGGTGCTAAGCTCAGTGACGTCCATGTTGTGAGTTTCTTTGTCCCACCTCATCTCTCTTAGCCTCCCACTCCAAACAGGATCTCACTATTTAGACTTTTATAATTTTGCATAGTAACTTATTTTTTCTGCTTCATATAAGCCGGCAGGTAGCTTACCGAAACGATGCCCATCCGTTACCCGCAGCTCAGCTGCCTTGCACCTGTTGCATTTTATTCTCTTTTTTCTTTTATGTATTGCGGCACAGTAGCTGATTCGGACGAAACCGCGAGGTGGACAGTCGATAATGTGGAGGATAGACATAAGGAAACTGCTGGAATGGCTTAATCAGGCTGGTACATACCGTCTTCTTGGATGGGGCCCCCGAGATGGTCCACATCAGTGGTTGGATACCTTGTCAGACACGGTGCAGTCGCGCAATCAGTGATGTAGCTCCATTTACTTTCCTGCATTTAACAGTTTATTTCCATTTCATCCTGGTTAGTCCCATGTTCTTACATTCTATTTGCTTTCAGCATCATTTTCCTGCCCTTGTTATTTGTTCTTCTTGTGATGTGAGACATGGCAACTCGATTCGCCACATCTCGATACCAGGATTATGGTTGTTCAACTGAACTTTATTCTGTTTCCACTTGGTTAACTTTGTTTCGAAACTATCTCTTCTACCCTGGTCTTTTTCATGACAGCATGTGTGTATACTTTCGAACATTTTGTATTTATCGCGTATTCACATTTAACCATTTTCTTCCATATGCTCATTTGGCGAGTATTTATGTCGTCATATGCGTTTACTTTATTCGATATCGGCATTTCGAATGGTTGGCTGTTGTTTGACATCGCAGGTGTGGCTGCGCTTGATGTGCATGTTGACAAGGTGCCTACCTGTCTATTACCCACTACCTCGTCCATCTGGCTCCAGGAGACAGGCGCAGGCGTCCTGTGGCTGGTCACAGTGACAGGCAAATCCGAAACCGGATGTCGCCAACCATATATATATATATATATATATATATATATATATATATATATATATATACCATGCGAATGCCGTTGCCGAGTTGCAAGAGAAATCCCTCGTGCATGCAGAGAAGAAGCGGTAATTGCGGAAGCGACAGTCACCGATGGGTTGTACTCCGTCGACATCGAGCGCATGTTGCTGTAGCCTATGTGGTCGCGAGTTCCTGAATCAGGCAGGCCTAAGGAGCCATGATCGAGGCCAATCGGAGCCAAGACCGAAACGACGACGAGTCCTGGTGAGAGCGTAGGCAGAATCAACGCAGTGTTGGTAGGGAAGCTGCATTCCATTTACTGACCGCGTGCTTGTATGCTGAGTCTCATTTATTTCTGGTGGTGGGTTTGCTATATTGTCCTAATGCTTTTTTTACCTCATATTAATGTCTACCTGAAATATCTTCTATAAACTTGCACGTTCGTTAAACTACTTTAGTTAACTTCGATTACCTTTCTGCGTTTGTGGCATTTTCTTAAGATATCTTTTCGGACGTCTTGAACGTATCTCGGATTTGTCCGTAACCAATTTATTTCATAGGCTCATTTAGTGAATAGTTATGTCACCGTATGCATTATTCGATTTATTTTATTTGATTGCTTCGTCTAAAGTGATTGCCTGTTGCTTGATGTCTCCGGTGTGGCTGCGCTTGATCTGCATGTTGATAAGGTGCCTACCTGTCCATTATCCACTACCTCGTTCATACTGGCTCCAAGAGACAGTTGCTCGTTGCTGGAGGAGACGAGGTGCACGATCCTTGTAAATAAATAAATGAAATAAATAAATTTGTATATTTACCGACGGGCGGTACACGGCCCCATAAGTGGGAGCGATCATTTGTATAGTGAACACGTTTCATAACATTAAATAAAAGTTTACTTATAGCATTTCGGATCATGATTACTTTTCCTTGAGTCCTAGACCCGCGCAACTCATATGTAAAATTTACGGATGTTTGTATCGTCAGAAGTGGATAATAAACGAAGGGACTATTAGGCTGCAAAGACACAGGATTTGGTATGGTATGTAATGACATGTAGTGGGTAAGCTAGCTGTAAGCTATTATCAAATGTTTTTTATACCAACTTCTGTCAATGTTTCTAGTGTTTGTTGTGTGTCAAATATCTTCAGAGCATTTGGTATAGTGAGGAAGGTCTGAAGCAGATTTCGAAAAGTGACATGACTTGTACACATGCGTATCTGTAGGGGTAGTTTGTTCCACAAATACGTGTATCTCACTAAGAAGAAATTCGACCGAATTTTATGACTTGAAAGGTTTGTACGTATCAAGTAGCCGCCATTACGTGTGGGGTAGACTGCAGTCTTCCGTAATTCAAGTGCGGTGCTGTCTGCGTAAATTCGTTGGTTTATAATGTTGTAGAAGAGAACGAGGTTATTCTTTAAGCGTCTCAGCCAAAGTGGATCCAGCTGGAGTTTTCGACAGCGATCATAATAAGTCAGGTTTGAGCAGCGTCCCATGAGCAGTTTGGTAAATGATCGTTGGACATTTTCTAGAGCCGTTCTGTCTTTCTTTCTTAATTGGCTGTGAAGGATAGTACAATATTCCAGAGTCGGTCGTACGATTGTCTTGAATGATTCAAGTCGCACTTCAGGTAGGGAGAAAGTTCTGGTGATATATCCGCATGGCTGCCTTGCTTTCGCAACCTGATAAAGAACATGTTCGGAGAAATTGAAAGAGTTGGAGTACCTAATTCCTAAGTCCCGAACTGACTCAGACGTTGGGATCACGTTTCCGGCAAGTATAATGGAGCCTTCTGGGATGCGGCATCTGTACCCAAGTACTTGGGATTTCACTGCGGAGAACTTCATTAATAAGCGCTCACTAGCTATATTTAGTGCGGATAGGTCTTCACAGATGTTTCCCAAACACATATGTAGTTGGTCTGGATGAAATGAGTAGACCAGTTTGACATCATCTGTAAACAGAAATGGATGTCTATGTTTGATCGGGTCACATATATTGTTTACATAGATTAAGAAGAGTAGCGGTCCGAGCACACTTCCCTGGAAGACACCGCTGGTTATTGGCTTCGGTGTAGAATGTTGCTGACCGATTTTAACGACCTGAGTTCGACCGTTTAGGTATGAGTCGAACCAGTTAAGCAGCGGATTTCCAATTCCATATGATTCTAGAGCCGACAGCAGTGGCTGGTGTGGCACGCGGTCGAACGCCTTTTGCATGTCCAATAGAATTATAATAATTGCCATTCCTCTGTCAATCATAGTCGTGATGTGATCGAGAAATTGTAGCTGGCATGTAACGCAGGAGCGTTTTGAGAGAAAGCCGTGTTGTGAAGGGTTGATCAGATCCAGTGACAGGGAAAATCCGAAACCGGATTCCGCGAAGCATATATCAGGTTGGTTCTTTGCGTCGGCTTGGGTATATGCTGCGTATGACCTGTCACCATGTACCGAGAAAGATCAGGTATTGTTCACTGGATGTGGGGTGGCGTGAAGGTGGAGGTGGCTTAAAGTTTACTAGGTATTGGGAAGTGAAGTCATTACCTACAACGCTGAGCGCTGTTGGTCTCTCTTGCATTGCAGAATGATGAGATCACCTTGTGCTGGGCCGAGACATTGTAGGATACCGCTAGCAACTGGCACCAGCGGTGCATGTGATGTCCTCTTCTAGCAGGACTACTTGTTTAGACTATTTGACTATATTTGGCTTTTAATAACGCGCAGCGGTGAACACCGCAAGGAAACTATCTCGACGGCGTAACCTTCACACGATAGCTAGCTTTTTCGGCCATATGGTGTTGACAAAATGTAGTCACCTTGACTCTGAATGCTTACTTAGGATGTATATGTTTTGCACTAGGTATCCGTCTCTCACTTTTCAGTTGCTAAGAGATTATGGCTGTGCTGTAGAAAAATATCGGCTCGAAATATTGATGCTTCCCTGTTGGCGACGACGACGAAGGTGAAGAAGAGAAATTAAAACGGATACTTTAAACAGCAATGACAAGAAGGTAGTATTGGAGAAGGAATCGAGTGCCGATCGGCGGTGCTTGGTTAACACGCCTGTTACTTTTTGTTTGGTGACCCTATAGTACCAATGAACGCTGTGATCCAAATACCCCCATCAAGCTAAGGGTGTGCATTAAAAATGGTGTGTATTCCATAAGGTAGCATACAATACATAGATGTGCGCTTAAGCATGTACTAACTATGACGTAATACGAAACACTCGGATAACAGCTGACCAACTTGTATTTACCGGTGCTTCATCTCCTGGTCCCAAGATGACCACAGAAACCTTCAGGTACCCTTTGGCTCCGGACATGGGACCCTCTGGGTCACAAAGAAGCAGCCACTTGTTGAGTAACGCGTGCTTGTCTTGTTCGTAGGCAAGAGCCAAGTCAAATTTAAACGACCCAATCAGCGCATCTTTGCGTAGCTTTCTGGAGTGATACACCCCAAACGAGATCGACTGATCGAGAAGTTTGGACGGTGCCTCATGAAAATTGAAGAAAAATGTCTCATTCCAGTAAGGTGAATTCGTGGGAGCCCTGATCTTGGTCTCTTTAGATTTTCCGGCACAGTTCACCTTGCACACAGGAGGAATGTTGGAACCCTGAAGTTGTCGAGCTTCGATGATCTTCACTCGGATCTAGGAAAAAATGGTAAAAGGCAAGACACATAGCAAGGCTGGTGAGTTAAACATCCGCAGTGAGACAAAAGCAACTCCTATTTACTTATGTAAGGAACCACAAATAAAATGGCGTGATTTATTCGTTACTCGACCAAAAAGCTGGAACTCATCTTTTGATTGGATACGGAGTTAGGCCATTACACAGCATAGATGCAACCGTGATTAAGCAATAAGAGTGACACTGAAATTATTGTGGCCTCTAACCAACTGCAAACCGATAGATACATGCTTAGGTCGTTGATTGTTTCGGCTTGTAAATAAGCAACAATGCCATTTCATCCGCTAGCAGCTAAGCAGAGAAAAGTAGGCATGGATACCAGTATGCTATAAGTACAAAACGTCTAAAGGACCGATTCTGCCACTTCAGGTGATGGATCCAGGGAACCGCTGGTCTTTACTCTTGGTGGGGTGCTCGAACATCATGAAATTGCTAAGCCCTATGTTCGGCTCCATCGCGAAACGGGTTACAGTGCGGTCATATCTGTGTGTGTATTTGGGGACTTGTTTTCCCGATTTCTCACGAATGATTTAGTTACTGACGGGATATCTTCCGACTGGGAAGCATGCACAGTTCCTCTCGGTATGGGTTTACGATGGATATGGGCATGAGGATGGAACTGTGGGTAGTGAAACGCAAATCATGCACGGTTCATCTGTATACGCAGGTACCTTTGGCCGGGAGTCATGTGGATTGGAGTCGTGAATGTTTCCTGACTGGACCATGTCCGTCAGTATGCACAACATTAACGTGAATCTGGCGGGAACAAGCATCTCCAAACGCAATCTTGGTAGTGACCGATTAACGATGGAACCATTTGTTATGCTTAACTATGTCATAGCCTCTTCGCACCCCACTACCAAAGCAGAGGCCAGTAGTCACTTGCAACCAACGCTTGAAGTGCCGGAATCGATCGGTCAGACACACTGTCAGCTCTCCCTTATTAAAGTCTCTGAATTCAGTGGATGATAAATGTTTGTCACACGTCAGCCGTTCAATGTTCTGGATCGACTTGAGTGACAAGAAACACTATGCAAAACTACAGTGGAGAAAATCACTGTCGGTTCCAACAGCCCTTAGATCCAAGTGCTTCGGCTACATATGAAACTTTTGCTGAAGCGTAGCGCAAAGGGCATTCAGCACCCGATTTGTCTCCAATTCTGGCGCATGTGTATCAGCGAGAAAGATTGACAGTCAAATATTCGTAACGGCAAAGGCAAACTTCAAAAATTGCAGATGATACGTCCGACCGGATTCTAACAATACGACAGATCATTACAGGTTGTAGTGAGGTGGAGTGTTATAACCCTAATAGATGTACCCGCCTTCAGTTCTGTGCACTTCAGAGAAAGTCGACGAGAACACGCTTGGTTTTACGAACCGGAAGCTTCAACAGCATGTTTCAACTTGTCTCCTATGTTTCGTAGATTCAACCAACGGCGCTTTAACGGTCAGACCGGGAGTATCGATTAGGTGAGTCACTTCGCAGACGTGTCACAAAAAGGAAAATGTGATCAGTCGCTGTTTTTGTGCCAAACTGCTAGGCTTGAGTAAATTATGCGGCTGAAAACCGCTTTCCGACGCAGCAACACCACTCGTAGTAAGCGGTGTGTTCACCATTGGGTATCTCGGTCACCTAATAAAAAAACGCTCTCAGATAGCAAGTGCTCATGAGAAATCGCCAACCCCTCACAGAGCATGAAATGAACTGGTCGTAGTGAACACGCACGTTCACTCGTAAATGGTAGTTGGATATTCTCCAGGTTGAGTCGGTTCAATTGAACGACAACAAGCAGAACACCGGGGTGTGGTTACTGCCAACGGCACTACTTGTCATGGGTGAAAGGAATGGGAGAAATTCACTGTTTTACTTTGGCTACTGACCTCTTGTTGGGAATGAGGAATACAATCACAAATCGAACCCCGAAGTACTTTGAAGTAGAACTAGGTAGGCCCGCTCACTAGGCCTGTTCCGAAACGGTAAGTTCGGCTTTCCACGTTGCACAATCACATGTCCTTAAGCAAATAGCAATCGACGTACATAACTTGGCAACCACTCGATACTATTCCGATTAGAGGAGGGAGTATGTGTGTCCTCGGTGAGTATTAAGTGAGGATACGAATATCTGCATAAAAACATTTGGTTTTATCCTCGCAACCAGAGATCCTAACTGCCGCTTCGACATGTAGTTGTTCATCTGTGCCGGCAAATGTCGTCACGCCCACAACTGCCGCCGGATTCATACCTGGCGACAGTAAATGCACAGAAAGGTGAACGTGCAATCAACCAATATGCGGCCTCGCCCATTCAACAGGTTGGCTGACAGGTTCTCACTGAATGATTCTCAACTCTCCATGTGTTCGTCTGTGCTCTGACGCCGCATCAAGACGGATCAGCCCGGTGTCTGATAAGTGAGCGTGGTGAAATGAGAGGTTGGGTTAATTCCGAAGATTCCACATGGCTACACCGGATCAAATAGCTACTGCGACAGACATTCCCTGAAACATGTAGACATGTAGAATTTCAAAGCGAAATATAGGAAACAATATTCATCGTTGAACAGTAGAGAGGCGCAATTTCTACACTATGCCCCATCAACCTCAAGTCATTACGCACCCGTCTAGGTGGGCTTAGTTTAAATCAGGGATGTCCAAATTCCGGCCCGCGTTAACATTTCGACTGGCCTGCGGCCTCATCATGAAATAATAAACTTAAGCTTGGGCTTTTTCGTACATGTGTACTTGTTGTTATTATCTTAATGTCAGACTGAATATGGCCCGACATATTTTTACCGCACAAAATATGGCCCGTCTTGCAGAAAGTTTGGACACCCCTGGTTTAACTTATTCATGTTGTAACCAAGAGTGTCTTTTATGTTCATGAGCTTTTCTAGTGCTTCTTTTAAATCTCACGCAAGCCACTGTGTAGGGCGATACAGTGGAGATTTATGCAGTTCGTCAGATCTTGTTACTCTGGCTCTGGTGCTGGAGTTGACGGAGTTTAACTCATGCACTGTTGTCGCGGTCATACGAAAAACTTGGATGGATGCAGCGTGCTTCAATGCTTTGTCAGATCTGACTACGCTTGATGTGAATATAGTCAAAACACCTGCTCCTAGGATACCACAACTTCGGTTACTGGCTCAAAGACATCTTGCGGCTGCTGTGGTAGAGAGATACCCAAACGTCTGGACACCGCTGAGCTCAAAGAGTGGTTCTAACGTCGAAAGAAATAGTGCCTAATCACCGTCTGCATATACCTGAGGTGCATGTTCCTCCGCGTATACGCCCTAGAAGGGCATGTTAAAGGAAGTGTGTGGCGGATGGACTTGGTGTTCGAATCCATGGAGAATAAAGAGTGGATTATTCATATTGCTTCTGCTGGAACAAGCGTGCTATAGTTATCTGATGTAACGCACGCTTTGTTCGTTCCTATTGCGTTTGTTGTAACCACTAGGCCTCGCCTCTGTTCCCTGCCTTGTGCTCTGCTACTGTTAAGACGCTCACCCACTTTCCCACAATGCGAGGTCCGCGAGTACTGACGTGTGAGCGCACTTAAGGCGCGGATCAAGTGTGGAAACAGCTGCGGCCTACTATGCTGTTCCTATAGGTACACCGTTAGCTACGGCCCGCTTAGACTCAACTCGATGCTTTGGATTAGGGATCCAATGATCTATATTTACACCAGCAAAGTTCATTTTTAAAGTGTCCGTTTTGATGGCTACAGGAAGGAGGGCTGACGAATTGTCCACTTTGTCAATTAGCCTCAGATGGTCAAAGCCAGCACAGGGCAATGATGGAAACCTGCTATTCATAGACACACAAATTTGAGTTGCCGCACTATTTTAGCTCATTTTACTTTCTGACCAGTACTGCTTACCTGAGGCACTCCGTTAAGTCCATTATCTCACGCACGCTATTCTCTCACTATAGTTCCGTCCAATCCACACCTGTCTCTTCTACGGCCACTTTGAGTTCCGTGCATACAACATTATACATACATTAAACACGTTAGTTAGAGGTGGGAAACACCACAGCTAATGTGCCGCAATACACAAAAGAAAAGAGCGGAAAAATGCAACAGGTGCAAGCCAGCTGAGACGCCGGTAACGGATGGGCATCGTTCCGGTAAGCTATCAGTCGGCTACTATGTAGCCAAAAATATTGCTGTGCAAAATTATATAAGACTAAATAGTGAGATCGTGGTTGGAGGGAAGGCTAAGAGGGATGGGGTAGGACAAATAAATCCACAGCACGAAAGCCACTGAGGTCTGCTCCTAGCCATGTCAGCAAGTGTATCCAGCCAAACGTGTTCATCATTTTTTGGACCCTAACCCGGGAGCCGAGACGATCCAACTGAGGTCAGCTCAGAAGTGAGGGACTTCATTCCCCTGGACCAAGTCATCGCTTGGCCACCCCTCCTCTTCTTCCATCCACACCCCCGGCTCGCAAACAACGCACGTCTCGGGAGTCGGTAGGCTAGCATGCGTAACACGCGGCAGAGCCATCGGAGGCTGATGCGTGAAATAACGGTGCTGAGCGATTCATTTCCTTTTCCTGTGCCGTAAACAAGGTGTCGAACACGCTCGTTGCTTACTCGGTGTTCCTGCCAGATGTGTGCTAAATTGCGAAGGCACCGGTGGTCGAATGTAACCAGCCTCTTTATTTCCGCTGCTCAAAGGGGTCAAGTTGCACAACCGTACAGTAGGGGGAGGCAGTAGCCTCCAGTTCACTCCACAGCTTAGCTATCTTTTGAACTTATCACAGTTATGAAGATAGAGACCCAGTTCCGTCTACTTTAACTGCGATTACCAGACTCCTCAAACCAGTATTCGTGGTTCAGCATAGATTGCCTGGACTCCAGTTCAACGCAGGCACTCAGTGCAGCGAATTTGAGTTACCGTTCGGGATGACACAGCCAAATGTTACCTATTGAAGTTTCAGTCTCGTATGCAGCAAC